CCGCCCGCAGGCGATGCGACCTGCAGGTCCCGCCCGCAGGCGATGCGACCCGCAGGTCCCGCCCGCAGGTCCCGCTCGCAGGCGAGACGATTTTAATAGCCGTAGGCCGGAAGCCAGACCCCGGCGTCCTGTCTGCCCGCAGGCGTCCACAGGATAGTCGTCGTCCGGAATCGGTCGGAAGCCGAACCCCGGAATGTCTGCCCTTAGTCGTCGTCGGACTAAGTTCCCCGCATCGTGTCTGCCCTCAGGCGCCGATGCGTCCCGCCCAGCCATCATCCTTTAAACTAGGGCCGGAAGCCAGACCCCAGAGGGCCGGAAGCCAGACCCCAGAGCGCTGGATCTGTCCATCCATATCTTAAAGTAAAGTTTGTTTCAGATTGAGAGACCGAACTTCTACTTAATGGAACATGTGAAAAATTATCAAGTCGTCACAATGCAGCTAAGGAGCCTTCCATTTCATCTCATAAAGTGTAACCAACCCAGTGTGATGCTTGTCGCCACTCAGCGACCCTTTGCTGACGTCGCTCGGCGAGAGCGATTCAAAGAGCATGCCGTCCACGACACAATTCAAACACCACTCTCGCATAGCACTGCTAGAGGGTTTTTTCGCGATCACCCCCAGGGACGCCATGCGGTGAAAGGGACTGCGCGTCCCAAACTCTTGCTCCAGTTGCATAAGCGATGCAACGCAGGCAGGGTTTGTCAACACAGACTTGGCCACTTGCTGAGCGATGGTCAACAGATTTGCCGTGATGGCTCCAGAGTCCTCATCGTCCTTGGACTTTCGACCTCCCACCACAGACTTGCAGCCCAGCTTGGTCAGCTCCGCAGCTAAGTCTGCATCTTTCAGTTTTTGGTAACTAGGTCCCATCGCTTGCACCACGGATTTCATTGACATCAGCTCCAATGTTGTTTGGACCGCAGTCCTTGCCATACTCTCGTGCAGCTGGAGCACATTCTGTCGCCGGTTGAACGCTTCCATCCACAGGTTGGATGGCAGCATCAGAATGAAGGAGCACGGGACCGAAAGCATTACTGCTTTCCAAGTCGCTTTGACAGTTGGCCACGACTTTGACCTGAAACAGCAGGCTGATAAAAATATATAGTAAGTGCTTGTAACGACTGCGCGATGGAAGAACGCAAAATGTTTAAAGTTTAAGTCTATCGTAATAAACCAAGCAACTTGAGAGCATTGGAGCATCCAATGATCATTGAGTGCGCAAGCTCCTCCGGCGAAACCATCTGCAAGCGGCTAGCCGCAACAGAATTGGCATCGCAAGCCATCACTTCTATCTGCTTCCCTGTCATAAAAGCAGGCTTCGACCCATCCTCACCATAGAAATAAGAAGCCATGTCACGAACTCTTCGCATGGACATGGGGATGTCAGGAGTTGGAGATGCTTTCGTGTTCAAGCTCCACAGGCTGACGCTGCACCTGTAGACGCCGTGCAATGAAAGAGCAACGCGTGCCTTCCCAGCATCGAATGGGTCTTGCACGCCTGCGGCGGCCGCATCCACGGAGTCCGCCGCAGAGTGCAGTGGAAGCGGGCTTTCCAATTCCAGACCTGGAAACTCGGCCAAGATAGCCTGCTCGCAAGCCTGCAGCTCGGAGTAATAGCCTTGGTTTGGCCCCTCCACCGCAGACGGCGAAGGACGCGGCTCCGCCTTCGCCTTAGCCTTGGCTCTGGGCGCGGTTCCTCCTGACGCTTCGGAGGCGTTGGTCGCCACGGCCAAAGCCGCACTCTTGCGGCTTTCATTGGCGAGAGCTTTGGCAAGTTGCAGGCTGTACTTAGCCTCTGCCTCCGATTCTCCATCGGCCACGCGCTTTTTAAGCTCAGCCTTCTCTGCGTTATTCAGCCGCCAGGCTGTCACATTCTTCGGAACAGGCTGGGACATGAGCGGCAAGACGGCCACCAGGGCAAGGTTTAGTGCTCGATCTGTGGAAAATAATGGCTGCGGACAATAAACTTAAGCGCGCAAGATCCATTCTCACGTCAGTCACTCTGATATATTACTTTATAACGGCACTGGCGGAAACGTAAAAAAAATAGTCCTTCGAAATGGCAACTTGTTTTGAACAACTGACACTTTTTTCCAAAATCTGCCATCGAGGCTCCGTTGATTGTCTGTCTGAGGGCTGCGCTCAGCATGACAGAATCTCAGAGATGCAGCCTTCGCCCGGCATCAGTCAGTCATTTGCTGCGTTTGGCCTTCGGGTTGTCGATGTCTTGAGGTGGGGGCCTTCCCTTCTTTTCTCCATTGTCCTCAGTCTCGCGAAGCGTCGTCTGGTCGGCAGTCGCTGCGGTTTTGGCCGCAGCTTTCTCCGCTTTCCATTGACGCCGGACCTCGCGGGCTGCCTTTGCCATTGCGTCTTTCCATGGCAAGGTGCCATCGGCCATGTAGTAGCAGCAGGCCAGGTGATAGGGATCGGCCGTCTCATGTGCGTGCCTGTCGCCGCCGATCACTTGATGGCCGCAAAGTTCACACACAGGTTCATCGCGTGGCAGGGCCAGCGCCACCGAAGCGACCATGGTGGCGAGCGCTGGAACAGCTACGGGTTGATAGCTCACGCTTCAGCCAAACAATTGTCAGAGCATGTCACTCTCGTTGGAAAGGAAAAGCAAACCATTTTGCAATGCCGTTTGAACACACTTCACTGAAATTAAAATATCTGTTAGTATGAATATGATATGTGTTTGCACCGATGTTTCGAGAAACATGACTTCGCAGGTCGCAGTATTATTAAGTTCACAACGGGGAGCGACGTTGACCAGGAGAGCGCAATGGGATTTACCCACACCCCTCTCCCAGCGCCAGCCTAGGCCGGACCCGGGAGATGACCATGGTAATCGCTGAGACCGTAGATGGAACCCAGTAAGACCACGCACCTCTCGACAATTACCACTACCCTCTCCCAACGCCAGCCTAGGCCGGACCCGGGAGGTGACCATGGGGAATGACCACTGGCATCTCCCAGCGCCAGCCCGGGCCGGGACCGTGAGAGGACCGACGTTCAACGGTTGCAAGCCCGCGACGTACAACGGTTGTATGTTTATTATGCGCATTACTATTATGCACGTTTTAACGTGTGTTTGTGTTCACAAATACTGGCGCGCGGAATGATCTTTTCAAGCGTCACTGGCGTCGTTCGGTCTTACAGCTGACTGACTGAGCTCGCCGAAGTCTGTTCTAAAAAAGCTAGCCTGGCCTAGGAAGTCAGCTGCTGCACAGTCCTCTCCCAGAGCGCTGCAAGGACCCGCACTTTGTCGTCTGAGTCACCACCGCCGGTCGGTCCTGGAGGCGGCGGCTTTTTGTCGCGAGGGTCCTCCTCTCTGTCCAAGACTGGTGACAAAGCCCTTTTGTTCTTCTTCTTGTCTTTCGTCTTGCCACGGGCTTTGTGTTGGGTGTCAGCTTTGCCCTTGCTGCCGCCATACTCTTCGTTCCAGAGCCGATCCGACTCGCGCTGACCTTCTTTCTTGCACTTCCCCCAGTCCCACGTTGGGTTTTGGGCATAAAGCGCCCAAGCCTGGTGCCAGGCACACCTTCGGTGTTGGTCCAAAGTGGACTGAGAACTGCTTTTGAGCGTGCGGTGGCACACTTCGCACCACGCCGCTGACTTCTCAGCGTCTGCAGCGCCATCATCAGAAGCCGTTCGGCGGGGAGGCGTCCTGGGCCGCCGGTGACTTGGTTCAGCGCTAGCCGCGCAGGAAGCGCGGTGGCCAGTGTTTCGGCGGGCCAGACCTCTGGAAGGTGACTTGTCCCTCCGGCCAGGACCACGACGACGACGAGAAGGAGATCGGGGTCGCCTGGAACCAGCCGGCGCCCTCTTGTCGGCATGGCTTGCCCTTCCACCCGCAGGAGGTTCTGGGCTAGGCCGCGCTGACTCAGGCTCAGACTCAGCAGGTTCTGGTGGACGAGTCTTTCCACCCCCCCCACCACCTGATTCTGCTGGAGCAGGTGTGGGCGCTTCCGCCAGCCTCACACCCGCAGGCGCGTCTGAGGCTGGCTCGGGCTCTGACTCATAGGAGTACTCGTCGTCGTCGCTCTCGTCGACGACTTGACCAGGACGACCAGGCGGGTCGACCATCTCTGCCACCTGTCTCTGCAACCTTGAGCCGTGGCTACGGACATAAACAGAAATCAATCATGCACCCAAATTAAATCATGTAAAAAGGGCAAAACCAACCTCATGGCTACTTTGGTCTTGAAATCATGTTTTGCATGTTTTGCGCAAGCTGTGGACAGGTATGTTATTTTGACGTTTTGTCAAACAGTCGGTCGCTCATCTGTGCTGCGGCACTACCACATGGCACTCGCAGCCAATAATCTCTCTTCCGCTGCATTGTCGAGGTCATTCCCGACCCATCCAATGCAACGCCAAGGGCTGACATCAAGACGGCGACGCTCATCCCGTCCCCCAAAGCTGCGTCGACAGCTCTCTGACGCAGATTGGCGTCATTCGCAGCCTGCACCATTTGCTTCAGCACTTGCTGAGGCACACTTTGCAAGCGACCCGCCTCTTCGACCAGGAGTCTGCGCCTCAGTCTGGTGACGTAGTAGCCTCCTTGTTGTAGCCTTGTCTTGGTCAGGCAAGGGCATAGATTTTTGAGCGGGTGTTGGAACGAAGGCGATGATCCCACGTCCAGCACCCAGCCCCTTTCCCACATCTGGCTGCCCAGCTTCTCCTCGTACACTGGCAGGTCCAGCTTCTCACTTCCAACCACGGTTTTGTCAAGGAAGTAATGCAAATCTGAGCAATGAGGCCTTTCAGCAGGCAAAGTCAGCTCCCTGGTTCGGAGGCTTTCTCGGGCCACAGCCACGACATAGGTCCTAGGCCTGGATTGTGGGACCGCGAAGTGCTTTGGGCTCAACACTTTCCAAACAAAAGCGTAATTCAGTCTGGTAAGAATTTTTTGAATAAACTCCCAAACCCGCTTGTGTTTGGCCTGCTGCAGCTCGGAAACTTGCTCCAAGATTAGAGCTCTAGGTCTGGACGCCGCTATGTATTTAAGACCCTTCAAAGTCACAAAGCCGCGCTGGTCTCGCGCGCCCTGTCGTTTACCGAGCCGAGAGAACGAAGGGCACGGATACCCCGCAACATAGAGATCCGCGCGCGGCGCGGTCAGGTCATTTCGCGTCATGATATCACTGACTGATTCGCCATGTCCATCAGACCAGCCACAAGCAGTAGCGACGCTGGAGTGCAGAATCCGCTTGTCTTTTGCAACCTCCGAAATCATCACCACTTGAACCCGCTTCTGCAAGCCCAGCAATCTCAGGGCAATCAAATCCGATCCATACCCCGCACAGTCAGAGACTAGGCGGATCATCCCTTCATCAGATGGCGCCGGGTGCAAACCCAGACGCCTTCGCCAACTCGAGGACAAGTTGTTGATGTCATTCACCATCTCTCGCTGAGCATCATTTGGCACATCCTTGTCTGATCTCTTTCTTTTAATGCCCGGCATGATTTCGAGCTGAAATGGCTGCAGAATTCAAACAGTGACAGTTCCTAGCGATTAGCAAGAGATTGACCACGCCGCAACATTGCTTTTTTCCCGACAGCCGCTTTTGGCGCTATCAGGGTTTGGCCTGCACGCGCGCAGTCAGGGTCTTGTTGACGCACTTCCCCGTGAGCCAAGTCACAAACTCGTTGCCTGTCAGCAACAGGACGCCCCGAACCCCCTGAACTCTTTCAGAGGAAGCTTTCAAATGCAGAGATGGTCTTCGGCCCCTTCCACGGAGACCCTCCACAGCGACAGCCTGCCAGCCATGTGAACAGGCATCCCGCAAAATCATGGTCATCCCAGGCTCTTGTGTCTTGAAATCGTTGCTCGTGAACACCGCGACCGGCAACATCAAGCCTGAATTATAGGTGACCTTTGCACCAGATCGCCCTTCCAAAACGCTCCCGGATAAGATGGTGCCTCCTCGGAGGGCAGCCATGAGGCGCACCTTCCGATGCACGGAGCCAAAACCCTTGACCACAAACAACTGCCCTTGCCGCAGGTCCTTAGAAAAAAGAAGACAAAAAGCCAAGTTGAATGAACGCCTTGCACGGCAAAAAGCTACATAGAAACATGAACGTACATCATTTTTGTAACTGAGCCACAGTGCAAAAGCTCACAGAGTCCCTGCATTCCTGCCTCAACATAGCTTGCCATGCCGGATGCAAACCTGGCTCAGTCTTGTCCAGCCACACATTTGTAGGCAGGTCCCTCAATGCCCACTGGCGCGTTTGCATCTCATTGGCCATTATTCTTGTCTCTTCGTACGTAGTCCACGCCTTCCGGCGCTTCGCATCGCTCGCATTGTTTCCACGCAACTGATCTCGGGCCACCTGACGGACTGAATCAGTAATCTCCTCGTCCAGAAGGTACCCATCCAGAAATGCTTCTGCCTTGCGCTTGCCTGCCTGGGTTCTTTGACGGTCCGTCTCCTTCTGCAAGCTTTGTGGCAATTCGACAGGAGCGCGCCTGGGTGGGGTCACCAACTCGGCGTCATCTCGGGTCGCCCGCGCAACTGCTGCACGCCTGCGGCGATGCCATTGAGCCTCGGTTTTCTTCTTGCCAGGCAGTGGCCTCAACTTCCGTTTGCTGCCCGCATCCAACCTCCTGGTCTTTGCAGAAGCACGCGCTTTCCCCGAGCGAAGCAAGCCCACGTAAAGCTTCTGCGCTTCGGTGATGAGGGTGTCTTCATCGGACTTCATTCCCTGCGCATCATCACCCATGACGATCGCCAAGCGCCGGTCGGTGTCCACAGACGCCGAAGCGAGCTCTACCGGAGATCTTTTGATCTTGGAAAAGAGCTGCTCCACGCCAGAAGTGCTTGCGGACCATGTGAAGTAGCCGCATAGGACCTGTTCACAATGACAAGCATGGTCGACCTTAATTAAAAAATGACCCATGAGAAAACAATTCAGTGCTACAAAAACCGGCCTCGGAGAGCTCCTTCGGCGCGTGTCGTTCTCGAACTTTTTGCCTCGACACTGTTCTTCGAATCGCCTCTGTCCAGGCCGCTCGGTTGACCATCGACCCTTGTTTGTGCAACGCCTCGGCAACAGGAAGGAGCCCAACATATTGCTTTTGCAAGGCTTCAGGGCAAACATTGAAAGCTTTGGCTAACTTCCTCAGACAGGCCCTCACAGTCGATGAATCCTGCTGGCGAGAGTCGCGACGGCTTTGCAAATTGAAAACTGAAAAGCAAGACAGCAAGTGCCAACTGGGAAATTCACTTTCCACACTGGCTTCTGCTGCAACAGCCCATTCCTGCATGACCTTCAAAGCATACACCTTGTCCTCCTGAGTGATGCGAATTTCGCGAGGGCATCCATCCAGCATGACAGTCAGGTCGCCTCTTTGCAGGGTGTCGATCATGTCCTTCGTGAAGGTAGGCAATTCAGTGACTCTTCCATCGACAAAAAGAGTGCGAATTGTCCTGCAAAATTTATCTGCTTCCTGATTCAGCTGGGCGATGTCAGACGATTCCTCATCTGCAAACCGCGTGAAATCCAGACTTGTGTGCGCTGCGTCCGCGCACATGCTTAAAAGCAGCATTTTTCTCCCAGTCAAATTCCTCAACAGCTTCCCAGCCCATAGCGCGTTCTCACCCCTCATCGCATCAATGCGTTGGCACACAGCCACCATCGCCACACTGTTCCGGCACAAACGTCCCAGTGGGAGAGCGTATGAGCTGAACCGATGCTTAGCTGCGCTGATGCTACTGCCAGTGGTGAATTCTTCATCCTCCTTGTGTAATAGCGCCTCGGCCCACCAACCTTTGAACACATTTGAATGAAACACCTTCTGGCAAAAGCTGTCAGAAGCAGTGACGAATTCAGATGTCAGACTCTTAAGTGTCTCATGGTGGCACAGGGGTCTCTTCAACAACCTGGTGCTCGCGTGCGCAATGTCGCGGCCCACGATGCGAATGTTAGGGAAATCCGCTTGCAGCTGGCCACTGCATGCATAGGCTCTGCGTCCCCGTAGGATATCGCCTGAAACAAGCTCTGCAGCGGCTGCATCTGAAACGACCATGGTGACTTTCTTGCGGATTTCAATTTCCAGACTAGCAGGATCTACATTCTCTTGGTCTGGCAAGGCGCAGTTCCGCAGAAGGCCTTGGTGAGGAGTGCAAAAGTCTGTGAGAATCACCTTTGTGACCTTTGAGAGATCATCGCCAGATCCCTCACACGGTCTCAACCCCAGCACTCCACTGACGACAGTGAAGTCGTCACCCAGGCATGCGCGATACCGGACCAGCAACCGCCCCTTGCGCTCGTCGCGGAAGAGAGCTACACAACGGGCTTCAGCCATGTGTTTCCTGGCTCGCCTAAGATGCGCCTCGCTCAAAGCAAATCTCACGCGCGACTTCCTGTCTGAGGCTGAGCCGCCTTGGCGTGCGCTGCCACCTTGTCTCATGTGCTTCAGCGACTCTTGGAACTCTTGCTTTGGCGGTGCCATGGCAACTGCTTCCTGAGAGTCACAGTGCTTTACAGCTGCTTGGTGAGTCTTACTCTTCTCGTGTCTGCCCACCTTATGCAAAGTCAACTGGCATGGGTTCTCATTGAACTCGGCCCAAGGCCCTGTCAGACCGTGGCGAGCGCACTTCGCACAACCTGCCCCGACTTGCCTGGCCCCAGACATCGCCAAAAAGAGCCAGCGAGGTTTTCTTGTGCCCTGACAAAACTTATGCCAGCTACACAGCCGACAACGTTTCTTTTGGCAGGACTTGAGATGTTGCTGAACCAGGATTCGAGGCACCAATTTGGGCAACTGTGGTTTGCCGGCCATGGTTGTCGTAGAAAGCTTTCTATAGTTAGCCTATGGACCCCGCGGCTAACTTTTAAGATCGAGCCACGCCAACGAAACAAAGTTGCAAAATGAGAAGGCGCGACGACAGACACAAACACAAATTCGAGGGACACTATTTTACAACAGCTTGCGAATCAGTTCAAATCAGTTAATCAGATGAATGCAAAATTTGCCCCGTTTAAAGGTCGACCCGCAGGTCCCGCCCGCAGGCGATGCGACCCGCAGGTCCCGCCTGCAGGCGATGCGACCCGCAGGTCCTCCCCACAGGCGATGTGACCCGCAGGTCCTGCTGCCACAGGCGATGTGACCCGCAGGTCCTGCCCACAGGCATTGACATTGAAGAAGACCGCCGCAGGGATGAGGAATCGGGGACCCATTCAAAGACTTATAATGATGTAATCAAAGTCAAGCGTGGGTAGTAAAAGAAAAGTGGCAACTAAGTTGCGTATGTAGAATCTGCCAGTGTGATGTCGGTGGGGAAGGTGGAAGACTCAGCACCTAATGCCCTTAATAATCAACTGGCTGCAGCCAGACGAGCAACGAAAACACAACCACTAAAATCACCCAAACACAACCATACTACTATAACCACCTTGAATTGAGTCACCAAGAAAACCATCTTGCAACCAGACAACCATTGAACAACACCAAGCTAGGCTCCTCCTAGGCCTCCTGGCTCCTGGCCCTACTTGGGCGGAGGGTCGGAGTTCTGACCCTTTAGGGCTCCTCCTGGCTGGCCGCCCCTGGCCGCCCCTTCCGTGTCGGTTCGATAGTGGGTGGTGGGTGGCAGGGGGTCGAAGACCACCAGTCAGGAGATAGGACTATACCCTAGGGCTCCAGTCGTACCCCCTCGGTATCTGGACCCTCTGAACCCACCCCAGTCTCACCTTCTGAGAAGGCACGACTGGAGCCCTAGGGATATATACGAGTACTTTTCCCTCAAATCCTGTCGCCTCAATGCAGAATTCGACATGAACAGTGTTCAGACTTCAAGGCAAGCGGGACGACCAACAATCCAAAGCTTCTCCCGGGAGACAGGAAACTTTGTGAATCGTTTTGTCCATCGGAGCTCCGTGCTCCCTTGCGGGGGAGGAGGGACTCTAGTACGTTACGGCTGTGGTTCAACAAGCGTCACCCTAGAGTGCCAGGCCAAACGAGTTTGATTCATGCACTACCTGGTATGATCCACCTCACCGCACCCTATGGAGTCAAACATGAGTCATTTTGGACTCCCACGCGCTCGATGGCAAATGCTTCATCCAACCCGCTGTTCTTCAGGATCGGATGAAAGACGAAGGGGCATGCGGACCAGCCTCTAAACTCTCTAAACGGCGCCTCCGTTGGAGCATCCCTTCAAACGGATGGTCCAAAAAAGGTCATGTTATGTCCTATTATCTTATCATTTCCATTCATTTCCCTATAGAAGTCCGGAGTCCAGTTCGACGATTTTTGTTGTTCGAAGTAAGGGAAGTTCCCGAACTCGCAGGTCAACCAGTGAAAGCACCATAAACATAGTCTTGGCCGACTCCATCAGCTTCCCCGGGAAAAAAATACAAAGCTTCACTGAGCTTTCCACCTGTTCATTGAAAAACTGAGGGGTCGGAAGAAGACACCACTCCCCAAGTCCAGAGTTGGGCAAGGGATCCACGGCGGTTGAACGCCAGTTGGCGATACCGACCCATGGCGATACTGACCGACCTGGTACAACCAGTCGCAGCTGGCATTCCTGGTGGACCAAGTCGCTCCCAGGCACGAGCTGTCTGGGACGAACACTCTTCTGCCGCCCCAGCTTTTGACCCCTGAAATCACCCACCCACCCGCGGCCATGACCGAAGTCAGAACCCCCAACAGATTGGTGTCCGGTGCAGCTAAGCTTTTTTGCCCGCTCCGCCCCCGATGCAGCACAGCACGCTTGAGCCGCTCAGCCCGAGTCGACTCTTTGGTCCAACAGTGATCACAAATGATATCTTGTTATCTAACATATATACAAGTGATACATATAATATATATATATATTTATAATCACAAGTGATACAAGTGAGATAACATATAAAGAGGGAGTCTTGTATGATGTCCAGCTCCAGGATCTGCCTCATGTACAGCAGCAGCTGCGACGTGTGCTCGATGAAAGTATGCAAAGACAAGGCTGCAGTAGGTCCCCTCTTCTGGATAGCGCAAGGACGTCAGCAAGCTGCCCAGATGTATAAGCCCATGAAATTGCTTTGTTCTTCTTCTTTCATAGATCAATCAGTTGAAAACGTCTGGCCCAGTCTGGCTGATGCGATTATCTCCTCCGACAAAAATCGATTCGGCTTGGCTTTTCAAAGCTTCAGGGAGCTGCCATGCGGTCAAAGTACATCCAGCAAAGGCAGCCCATCCAATTTGAGTGACAGAGTCTGGAATCGTCAAATCTGTGAGTGATTTGCACCCTGAAAAGGCATGATGCCCTATCTGAGTCACAGACTTGGGGATGACCAGACTGCTCAAAGACGTGCAGCCTGCACACACAAAGCCCTTGATCTCCGTCACAGATTTGGGAAATCTTATAGCCGTCAAGGAGCCGCAACCGACGAAAGCACAGTTTCCTCAGGTTGATGCGTGTGATGCGTCCAGAACTAGAACCAGCTTAAATCCCCGTCACTGATTTCATGCATATATAGAAGACCAACGCTGGCAACACATCAACTAGGCAACAACAAATCAACAAATGGTAAAAGTGCATTATGGTGTTTACTTGTCATTGCGGCATGGTATTTTGTTGGGTGGTTCCAAGCGGAGCCCCATTTCCTTTCTTCCATCCCACCGGTCACAAAACACCACGAACGCTTCGCAGACCGCAGACCTCAAACAAACGCGGCAAACGGATCCATCACCCCCGCGGGGCAAACGGATCAACACCACGAAGGCTTCGCTCTAAAACACCCTCCGGAGCGGCGATCCATCCCTCTCCGTCCACGGCCGAGCCGGTCGCCCGGCGGTAACGGCGAAGAACGGCGAAGAACGGCGGCGCACGGTCGTTTTTCGAGGGTCCGATACAGATCACCGAGTCCGGGAGATGAACGCTGCTCAAGGACTTGCAGCCTGCAAAGGCACTGCTGCCAATCTGCGTCACCGAGTCAGGAAGACTCATGCTTCCTCGGTGGGGCGACTCATGCTTCCTCGAGATGGTGAGTTCGGAAGAGATTCGTCGGGTGTTCGGTCTCCGAACCCCGCACGAAGCCATGCTGAATGAACCCGCATTCTAAAACACCCCAAGCACCGAAGCATACCGAAGCTGTGCTCAGAACTGGACAAACAACACACAGATTTGCCAAGAAACTCAAAGAGGTGCAGCCGGCAAAGGCGTGCTGCCCGATCCGAACCACAGAATCCTCAGGGTTGGACGTGCCCGAAGCAAATGAAGCAACATGTAACATGACCTCTAAACGGCTACGGTGAACAATCGTTAGGAACTGAGAGCACAAACGGTCGTCTAATGGCTTCCCTCCAATGGACCTCCACAAAAGAGCCAACATCATCACATATATATAATACCAGGACCATCCAAGCGGTGTCCAATGGACTTCCCTACACTACTTATAGGCTTCCATTGGGCACCCTTTGGATGGTCCAGGTATACAAACAAAAAACAACATATCATGCATCATCCAGGATTCTCTGTTCGAGGTGTCTAGATTAATATAGCTTCTCAAAGGGGATTCGGGGTGTCCAAAAACCACCGGGCTTCATACCATGCCGCCGCGCATCCGGGATGACCACAGTGGTCAAAGAGCTACAGCTTTGGAAAGCACCGTCTTGTATCTCACCCACGGAGTTGGGGATGGTCAAGCTGGTCAACGACGTGCAGCCTCGGTCGATTAAGTAAGTCATCCTAAACCTCTTTTAACACTGGCGGCTAGATAATTCTATTGCACCCATACTTTGAACACTGCAGGCACCATGCTGTTTATAGGGCAAATCACTTTGTCCGGTCGTTTCTCATCTTTGTCCAAGGCCTTGGAAGGCACACTGCGCAATCTCTGTGAGCGATTTCGAGATGCTCAAGCTGGTCATGGCGCTGCAGCTGTCAAAGGCAAAGCTACCAATCTGGACCACAGAGTCCGGGATCGTCAGAGTCTTCAAAGAAATACAGCTTTCCTACAGTCAGCGTTCAGGACTTGGACGCGGCTTTTGGGGGGGGCCTTGTGTCGTGAGAAATACGGTTGCTATTGCGGAAAAATCAACAAACTTCTGGGATACCGATGAGGTATCTCCAAGAGTATATGGTAGATCACCGCCTATCATTCTTGCTGGGCACCAAACTTGGACTATCCCATCTCCGTTTGCCCTGGCCAGAGTGACCCACAGTTGAGGTCTTTCAAGTCCAAAACAGGGGATTGAAAGCCAAAATGAATCCCGATGGATCCACTGGCACCCTCTCAGAAAGTACGACTGGACACTCCAAACCTACCTTCTCAATGAGAGTCTAGAGTACGATTCTTTTGTTTGGTGCAATCTGTAGTCTGGTCGTTTCTCGGCCGGTGACCGTGTCAAGGACCGACTCTCCTTTTCGGACCGGAGATTCGCTTCCAGCGGGCCCCGACGTTCCGGTCGGTGCCGAGTCCGCCGAGCGGCAAAGGCACGATCTCCAATCCAAGTGACAGAGTCAGGGATGGCCTGGGCTACGAACGGAGCAAGAAGCCTGCTCCATTACCGTACTACGAACGGAGCGATCGGACGCTACGAATGGGGCGAACGTGGCCTGGGCCAGTGAGTTTCCATAGGGGGGTGACGTGAATTATGCATTCCCACTTTCATATGATGCATGTCAAGTGGGATTGGGATGAACAAGACGGATTTTCCCCACATATTGGCCCTGAATCCCTCGAATAACATTGTTTGAACTCAAAACACCAAGCTTAAGGCTTGGTGACTTAAACATACTTAGGCCATCCTCTGAAAACTTTTACAGTGAACTGGGATAGGAATGGACCACTAGAACAGCAGCATATATGCTTCCAACCGAGTGGCCAAACGGGTCAATGAGCCGCAGCTTGCGAAGGCATTGGTCCCAATCTCCGTGACGCTTTGGGGGATGTGGACGCGCTGCAAAGAGGTGCAGTGACTGAAGGCATCTGGCACAAGAAGCCTTACCTGACAAAGGGGCCATCATGCGGCGTGTGTGGGGCGAGGAATGCGCAAGGGCGCACCTAATTGATGTTGGATCCTGATGAGTAAAAGGGATCCCCTCCGACCTCCCTCTAACAAATGGGAGGTCCTCTTACATCCTTTTACTCATCAGGATCCAACCATGGTTTCCAAGTACTAGCGCACCCCCCTCTTGTACAAGAGGCTCTTGGAACAAACCCAAGGGGTGCCGACACCGCCGTCCATGCCGATGTTTGGCTCATCATCCACAGGTCAAGCCTGAAAGTTTCAGGAGTGTTCAAGAGACCCATTTCTTCTCGACACATATGTTACTTTTTGTTATTGTTTGTGGGTTGACTCACCTCCATCTTTTGACTGGCAGAGTGCATGAGCGAGTTCTGGCGCGAGCTCAAGCCCCATGGCCTTCGCACTTCGTTGAAAGACGAACTGAAGGCTGTTTTGACCATTGCTTCATGACGAACTCAATAAAGAGTCCCACAGCAGCATGCGCAGCGCATGAGCTCCCTTACTTACTTACTTACTTACTTACTTACTTTTTTTTTTACTTACTTACTTACATACTCACTTACTTACAAACCTGCAAAAAACAAACGTATCATATCCGCCAGACGTCTATTTACCCATATGCATCATGAAAAAAACAAAAAACTGTGAAGACACACGCGTTTGCAGTTACCAGTTCTTCGCAAAACACCTTAAGCAAAACCAGGCTGAGCAATCCAAAGCTGCAGTATCAGGAATGCGCACATCCCGCAGTTCTGCAGAACGCTCTTCACAGGCCCATTTTGAGCTGCATTCCACCGTGGGGTTCGTGGTGAACAAGACCTCAGCCCGTGAGCAGGACGGAGGCTCGAATGAACCAGGAAATCCAAGTGATTTGGTATATACCCTAGGGATCCAGTCGTGTCTTCTCAGGTACGGTGATTGGAGACACTATTCTGTAGGTGCCAGGAGGGTCCAGTCAACGGATCCCTCAGAATCCACCGATCTTTGTGTGTGAACTTCCAGCCAACCTGGTACCACTTCCACCACGGAGATGTCGCACTTCTTATGGCGAGGTATCCTATGGCTGAGGTATCCTAAGCAAGCCTTCTTTTTTGGCTGAGGTATCCAATGGCGCCCATTTTGCCAGTGATCCAAGGCATCCCACAGCCGCAGTGAACCGAATCAGGTGTTCTTGATTTGCCTTCCCAACAAAAAGGAACGGGCACAGAACTCGGACGAGGCAGGGGCAAGTCGAACGGCGCCGTATCTGTGCATCCACCTGTAATTTGAAACGAGTTAGGGAAGACAATGTGATTCTGTTGATTGAGACTCTAGTAGGGAAATGGAAAATGGGAATCAATAGAAAACCTCTACCATGTACTTCCCTCTTGCTCCAACCACATCTTCAGAAGGTAGCTAGACAGTTAGACAGTTAGACCCCACAGGACCCTTGCAGCCCTATCTTACACAATATGATGCTCCTCTTCACCTCTTAAATTCGCTTCAATCCCAGTTTGTTTCTTATCAAAGGAAACCCCAGAACAGCCTCACAGCCTCGCCTCACAGCCTGAGTGATCGCCGAACGGCCTGCACTTGTGCCGTTGGAGAGATCCCCACGGTGTCCACCGTCGCATCATCGTCCACCAAGTTCCTGAAACCGAGTGAGCCTCGCTCTCGGTGACGGGGTCACTGAAGCACGTGCCCTTATTGGACTGAAGGAAGGGAGCCAGTGAAGTGGAGCCCATCCAGGCCTTCTCAGAAGTGGACAGACTGAAGTGGAGCTTTTGACCAGTCCCACACTTCTTGGACCGGTGGACCACACTGACCAAGTGGTGGACCACACTAGCGTCCCACTTGGACGAGAAAACGGTCTATATTATAATACTTTGATACCAGTTTCCACGTCATGGAACATCACGTTTTTTCCTCCTCCTGTCAGTGGTGTTGCTGAAAACACCAGTGTTTTGATGAATGATGATTGATTCCTTTGAACATGTGTTTTTGCCTTTGAAGTATCATGAAGTACCATCCCGCCATCCGTCATCCGGCACCGTGCGAAGAAGATCCACCGTTCGAGTTCCCAGGCCGTGCGGCTGTCCATCCAGGATGATCTGCACAGCACTCAAGGTGCGAGTGAGCTCGTCTTCAGATGGATGCCATGCCTGCCATGTGGCCATGTCTTCACCTCTTGGGGCAGTTCCGGCTCTGTGAGGTTTGTTGAAGCAGCGACCTGAACATATCTGGAACACGGAACACTTAGAGCAACTGCATATCTCAAACTCGAAGACACAAAAGCTGCTTCAAACACACTCCAAATTATGGTTGTTGATTCCGATTGCCCTCTTTTTTAAGGCCCAATTGACATGTCTTTTCCAGGCTTTCCACCAAGAAAAACACCAGCACTATATTCCCTATAGGCCCTCTCGGGCTCCTGTCCCACAGCCTCAGGCAAAGGTGGTTAGAGTGGGTGCCACTGAGGTCAGTCCCTACCTTCTGACGACCAAACGGGATGTGGACAGGTTCTGCCACAAAAGCTCCTGGGTGAAGCTCCGCCTAGAATCGTTACATCTTGTAGACCATCCCATCACATCGGCATTGCTGCATAGGCGGACCTCCCAAAAGACTCCCAGGAACGACCCCGCCAGGGGCCAGATTTCGGGTCTTTCCCTATTGAAATACACACACCCAAATCTTCACAAAGCATCGAAGGCTGCCAAAACGGTCAAGTACCTTGCCAGCTTTGCTTGTGAACTTCCCTCTTTCGCGAAGACATATTCAAAGCTTCATCATAACACCAGATCCCATCCAGCAAACAGGGCTTGGGTGTTTTTCTCCTGAAGCCCCCCATCACCACTGGACTAGCAAAGGAAGATTTGTAAGTTGGTGTCAGGATTTAAATACGCACCGTTTTCCGTGAACTCCGCCTCCTTTGTCCCCTGCCTTCAAGGTCTCCTTCAACTCACCAATGGTGATCTCGGGCACCACATCTACCCCCAACACTTTGCCACTCATGAACTGCACGGCAATGCTCAGCTGAGCAGCCGACACGTCCGAGTCAGACGCGGACGCGTTGGCTGACGCAGACGTGTCGCCAGCAGACGGGCTGCAGGGCTGCACGTCAGCAGCCATTGGGTGGAGGGTCTTGTTGGCTGTGAAACAGCTGGCTGCAGCTGATGTGCACAAGTCTGGCTAAGAGCACAAGTCTGTGCAGGTCACAAGGAATGAAGCACATGAATTTGGATGGTCCCAAGATGAAGTGTCCTTTCCAAGGCTCAAGATACCTGGTATACGCACCCATGGTCATGTGAACGACTGCTGGCGACGTCACGCGGCGGAACTCGACCGAACTCCGACCGGATGATGTGGGGGCCGAGTCGACGAGATTCGATCGAATGTCAATTTATACCTCAGAACATGGGGAGAACATTAGGAGGAGAATCTATACCTGGACCTTCTTTCGGGGTGTCCTGTCTGGAGGTCCCTTAGTAGTGGGCTGGGGCTGCCAGCCAGGCGACCCCGACATGAAGGTGCTGGTATAATGTCTTTATTCTTTAAAAATAGGATCATATATGTCCTATTTTCAAGTGTATACTTGAAGTCGGGTCCAGGTTGCGGCATGCTTTCCCGGCTTTCGGTTCTTCCTTTCAAGAACCTGCGACCTGCTTTCCCGGAAAGCACGTCCAGTCGTACCGGTGGATCCATCGAGTTTGAACACAGAGGGAGGTCGTCCGGTCGTATCTGACCGGTCGTGGCGGCAACCCCTCTGTTGATGGAAATGACTATAGCTACCAGCAGAGGTTGAAGAACCCTATAGACTATCCTATAGGTACCCCTGTAGGGTCCTAGAAGGTCACTTAAGACTCTGTAGGTATCTTTAAACCACAAGACGGAAGTGAGAAATCGCTTAGACCTGAGACTGGTCTATCTCCCTATTGTAATGCATATAGGGCTTCACGGATATTCACGATAAGGCTGTCTTGATCCCTGGATCAGGGAGTTCAATGTCAAGGAAGTTCTATCAAAAGCCCAAACACCCTGAAAACATCATGGAAGTGGATGCCATGGTCTGTGGGATGCCATGGTCTGTCGGATGACCATGTTCAATGCGAATATCATCCAATATCCAAACATGTATATGTAATATGTTCAATCCACAAAACCATATATATATATATGTGTATATATGGTTATATCAGGGAGTGTCAACACCCTTAAGGACTCTTGGCTCATGAGCTGCGCCGTGCGTTGCTCTGTCCGCCGTGCGTTGCTCGCGCTCGTTTGGGCCCCGGTGGGGAGCCAGCTGACATGTGGAACAATCGGAGGCAGGTACACTCTGCCACAGAGCCAAACATAAAACAGGAACAACAACAGCGTTAAAACATATGATTATAACTTATAGCTAGATGACTATAGAACAAAACTTATGACTTGTTCACTACGAAGGAACAACACACGAAAGTGTAGATGTCATCTTTGCAAGCTACATTTTGGCGCATGGTGTTCGACATGCTTGCTTCTATCTCCCTCGCCATCCACCTCAAAGCACCCCTGCTCCCACACCGCCTGCAGCCCTTCGGACGGCCATGCCCAGGGCCAAACCCGGCCGTTCTCCTGGGGAAAGGCTGGTGGAGTTGCCGGGGATGGTTCGAAATCGCCCATATTCTCTAGGAAAGGCTCCATGTGAATCATGTGAATCTCATCCAAGTTTTTGTTGATAGGTGAAGGATGGGGAATCGGACAACTGTGAGGGAAGGTGCAAGTTACAAACATCCAACACCAAGCAACCACGGCAAAACATGTGTATGCAATACTCAAATGCACCCATATTAAATTATTATGTGGACATATGTGGACGGTCTTCCTTCAAATGTTATATTCTTCAAATCAACCCAGCCTGCTCTTGAGCGCTCATGTGTTGATGGTTGAGTTTACGATGGTGCAACATTGGTTAAAACAGTCTGAGTTCCGCCATGTCAGCAAGCTGCTTGAACTATTACAACTATTAACCAGACTAACCATCTACCAGCATCCTGCAACAGGTCTCCTGTAGAGGGTTGTTGGGCCCTAACAGCTCTCAATGATGACCTGTAGACAACCTGTAGACTCGGGAGTGCTGGTATAATCCCTCCTCCTTTGTTCACTGAACCCACTCCTCCCTCCGCCGCTCCTGGCGCAACGCCACGCGGACCCGCGACGGCGGCCACGGGACGCGTGACTCGCCGGACTCGCCGGACTTGCCGTCGACGCGCAGCGCCAGGCGGCGGATCATTAAATGATGCCGGAAGCCGTTGGGCATCGCCTTGGGAACAGCGACGACGAACCGAAGAATAAAAAAAAGGGGTGGCCGCCCTCAGAAAGCCCTGACGAGACAACATTCTGAAAATATGTAAAGGAATCCTCCGTGCTTATAGACACTGGAATCACTTGCCCGACATTTTATAGATCGACAATATTTGAGTACAGTCCTATACGTGTGCTCCTATTTGAGTACGGTCCTGTGTTCTGGGGAACGAACTGGATCGTCCAAACATGTATACAGTATACATCCCAAACACTCCATGCGTTGCATATTTACATGCATTGGATGGGTTTCAGGGGTCAATGTAGGCATATATATATATATATGTATGTGTATATGAGGTGCCCACCTTTTTTTCCATGCTTTAATGCCTCGGTGTCAGGTGTGCGGGGGGTACCATATATATATATATATAAATGCACAGATTGGAGGCAAACCGTTTTTAACCTAGGTGTTTCCCAAAAAAAACATAGTTTTTTTGGGACCTGGATTGCAAGATTGAAGATGCTTAGAAACAGTTTGTTTTTCAGACAAACTACTTTTGGACCTGGGTTGAAGATTCAAGATTGCTGAGAAACTTTTTCGCTTCAATCTAGAACCTTCAATCCAAGTCCCCCCAAAATAGTTGTTTTTCTTAAACAACAACTAGTTCTTTTCTAGAAAAATAGTTTTAGAAAAAACTTAGGCCCCTGATACGATATTTTTCTAAAACAAATAGTTTTCTTCCAAACAATAGTTCTTTGGACCTGGATTCAAGATTCAAGATGCCTAGAAAATGTTTTTCCAGCAATTTTTCATCTTGAATCTAACTATAGAAAAACTGTTTTGTAGAAAAAAACGTTTTTTTGGAAGATACTTAGGCCCCTGAGTCCAACAAAAGGGGTGCCATGGGGGCTGGAGTGGTGATAATCATAGAAATGCACAGTTTTTGTGTAAAAAACTATTGCTGATTCTCGATAGTGTGCATACGTATGGTTAGCATACGAAAAACAGCAGGCGGCCACGTCGTAAACTAAGATTGAGTCGGGGCAAAGGATGGTTCCGTCTTGTCCACGAGGCGATGTCAGTGCCGTGCCAATGCCACGCAAATCGGGTGAACTCAGGCCAAGCTGTCCACTGCTTTCCATCTCTTCCTTCACAAGCTTCGCAGCCTCCTCCTGTTTTCAGATCCCAAAGCTTTATATCATGCATGTAGAAGTATATCATAGAAAGCCTCAATCCCAGACTCATCCGACTCATCCGGCCATGCGCGACCTTCGTGGACAACATATATATAGTGAAACTATTTAGTGAGGATATCTCAAAACTTTGCTCGTTGGAAAACTCTCAAGAACCAAGGCCCATGTTGATCACGTCCATCATGGAAGCGTGATGTGTGTAATGATACAATGATACAGGATCGTTTGCTTGATGGTCGGCAATCGACCCAATTGCGTTCACAGGCATCGTCATCATCTGAATGCACCAGAACCAATGCCACCAATAGTATCTATAATCTATAACATATAATTGTTCCAGGATAACATATAATTGCTCCAGGAACCCGGGACAACCCAATATTTGAAATATTTATAGACTTCGGGTCCCAAAACTTAAACAAATATTATACATATGTTACTTTTAATCCTTTTCATCTTCCAAGTATGTAAATTATGTACCAAGGAAATAGTTGCATGAGAGGACCAAAAATTTAAATTATGTAAATATGTTGGCTCCAACGCTTCTACATATTATAAATATGTTCCTTTTAAAATCTGTTCATTCTCCTGTTTAAGTACGCAATGTGGTCTAACCCTCTCATGCGAAAGTGGGCCTGTGCAAAAGCGTCTTGCGTAAGATGTCGGACATGTGGCGACTGCGACCGCAATGCATTGTCAATTTGACTCTGGATTCCCCATTCATAGATGCTCAAGGCAAATGGATGCCACCACTCGCCGCCTCCAATATACGGCACAACTTCCGTCATGGCGTACACCGGATGAGCCTCGGCCCTCGCCGGCGACGTCGGCGTAGGGACCACCGGCGACACTGTCGGTACCGGCGACACGTCGGACAACGACGGCAGCGGAAGATCAGTCTTGTCCGTGCCCGGTACTGCCACGAAACAGCAGCGGTGAGGAGGTGACCCAAACAGGAGGCGGCTGGTCAAGAAACCCACCAAGGCCAGGTCCTGTCAGCAGCATCACCACAAAGTCAAGACCAAATCGCGGTCAGGAACGTGCTCCAAATCCGCCGGCTTTAGCCGGCGTGTTCTGTGGATGTTCCTGTTGCTGTTGTGTTGTAAGTCTTTCCCCTACGCGCGGATTTTTGCTACCCTCCCCCCCCCCCTCCCCCCCCCCCCCCCCCCCCCCCTCCCCCCCCCCCTTCTCCTCTCTACTATGCCAAGACAGCACACACATCATCCTCTACGGCACTCCCGCATTCACCCTGCATCCTCGAAGCGTACGCCCCAAAGATAGATCAAGGCTGCAGCACGGAGCACCCTCCTCCTGCCATGCCTCCAACCTGTCCGCTAAGATGCCAAACTCTTCTATAGATAAACAACTACCCTGTGTTCCACTGCAGGCATTTTCTACCCCTTCTTTCCAAACCCGTGCTCAAATTGCTACAAGCATGTGTCTTTCATCTGCGTGTCTGCTTTTGTTTACCTTATGGCCTTGCCACCTGGAAAGCCGGCGGAACACGCCAGCGGCGGTTAAATAAGATCAAGTCCGTCAGCCAGCAGGCCCGCACAAACATAGGCCTCAAAGTGATAAGTCAAACATATCACCCAACTTGCCAAGGAGACAAAGGAGGGGTAAGTCATCCCAAGTCGTACACAACATGCGAAGCACGTCTCGCAGGACAGGCACAGCAGTGAGCCAGAAGGAATCACAAAATGCATAATCAGTGAGTACAGGAGGCATGTGGCAGCAGTGAAAGGAATCATCCAAAGACTCAGGCATACAAAACCCTGCAAAATTGTCCGTCGCCGAGCGGCGGGGTCAGGTGGTACTCCAGTGCCAGTTTCAGAAGCATGCACAGCATCCACAAGAAGGACAAGCACGCAAAGGATAATTCCTCGAAAACAGGACTGCAGGGTCCAATCAAAGCAAATGGACATTCAGTTGTTCCGGCTCAGGCTGGTCGCCCGGCGTCCACGCAAGCCATGAATCACGGCGTTGAGGCCAGCTCGGCCTCAATTCGGTCCCAAATCACTTGCCCCTTCTGTGAACTCCTCGTACAACTTCTGTCCACCCATGTCCACCACCGCAAGCTGCACTTGGATGCCGTGGGCTGCCAGCTGCTCGGTGTTTTGGGCCCGGCCGGGTCGGCCCAGTCGGGGTGCGTGGTGAGGAGGAGTCGAAGGGAGCGCTCCGCGAGTCTCGCTCAGTCCCAGGACGTGGGCGGAATGGGGACGGTGGATCGATGCCTGCCTGCAAGACCCATCGTTTTCTATACCCAAACACTCCATGTACCTTCTTTCGGGGTGTCCTGTCTGGAGGTCCCTCTCAGTAGTGGGCTGGGGCTGCCAGCCAGGCGACCCCGATATGAAGGTTCTGGTTGATATATATATATATATTAATATAAGAAACCACCTCAATGTATCTTCCAGCCCCATGAAGTGTCTGGCATAGGTCACTCATCCACTCTCTGGGATATCTCGTTCGTCTGTCATCTGGGCGTCCGAGTTCGTCACGTTCCGGTCGTTGGCGTAAGCGCTCAAGGGATTTCCCCAGTGGCCCTGGCGCGAAGAGGCCAATGTGAAGGGCATGAGTGCGGGTCAAAGGAGAAACAAGCCCAAACCTTATATAAGCATACCAGCATCAGTTTCCTGGATTATATGTTCTTCATGTTCTGGAATTGCTTCATGTTCTTTTGAAACATAAAGTTCTCTATTTTTGGTATGGTCCACAAGGCCATGTACATCAATTCATGAACAAAACAAACGGCTTGGAAGGCCCATTTGGAAGGCCAAGCGTGTAAATCCAAGCAAGTCTAAGTCATAGACCTCTGGTCAAGAACAAGGGTTGATCTATGTTGATCTCCAAAATAACGTGGTTCAAACACTTCTTCTTGTTCCGTGAACTAGAACAACTTGCTTACAACACTTGGTCAAACACTGAACAGCTTGCTCCCTGGTTTAAGCACTTTGCTCCCTTATGCTGCAAGCCTTATGCTTCCCTTGTGCTCCGAGACGAATCAAACATATACCCTCATTCGATCCATCCGCTGACAAGCACCGTGAAGCTGCCCCACCTGGAATTCGTCATTCTGCACCTCGGCCAGTAGCACACTTCATCACCGGAGAGGCACGAGGAGTGATGTATTTTGGGTGGGAGCAGTGGGAGCTGGAGTTCCAATGAGATCGACCACATTACAATCTGGGTGTTTTATTATTTAAGCCAAAGGATATGTCTCGAAGGACCAAAATTCGAGATGACAGCGATGTGCTGATGGGGTTTTCACTGAGTAAGCCCAAGGATGAAGACGTCCTTGGGAATATTTATTTTCATATATTTTGTGCATATCGATCTCACTATGCTGGCCAAGCATGGAGTCTTGCCACTTATCTAGCACGTGTATGGCGGGAGCACGCGTCGTAAGGGCAGGTGGCGTACAGTCATGGCAGTGGCCCACCTGCCCTGTGAGATGCATCTCTCATTCTGGTTGAGTCTGGCTTGGAGTGCAACTCGCGCATGCGGCATGCGGCATGCGGCTTGGAAGAAAGCGGGGGCACTGGCAGCCTGGCCTTATCATCGGCCGGCCTCTGGCATTCACGGAGCCTTTGAAGGACGGTGAATTCCAGTACAGCAAGTGGTCCATTGGTCCATACGACAAGTACAAGACCGGACACGATGACGAGCATGGTGAGCAACCTTGGACAGAAATGGACACAAATGACCACAAATGGGTGGTTGCAATTGTGAAAGGGAGTACACTCCGATGGAGTGTTGAGGGCATAAGTTTAGGGATTTGCTATCCCGGCGATGCTTCCAAGCCGGACTTGAATGCACTAAGAACCCAGTCCCTGAAAAGAGGGATGTCTTGTCCAAACCCCTGTCAAAATGTCCAAGGATTCTTGATGCAAGCCTGCAACCAATTTGCCGTGGAAACCTGTTCCAGAGATCAAACAGTCCCGGGTAAACCTCCCTCTAGTTCCTTTCAGTGGCCAATCGGAAAACACACACGGTACTCTTCCCACTGTAAGGTCAGTGCAACACAGGTGACCTATACTGTGACCTATATGTATCACACAGGGAAATGACCTCAAACGAACACGTCCAACCCACCTCAAAAAGAATCCATCTGACCCGTCTGGAAGATTTGGAGGCTCAAGATGTGGACCGAAGGGAAGAAGGACGGAGGTCGGGTCGACGAGATCGGAAAGACTGTGACTTGGCGAACTGTGAACGCCTTTAAGGTGAAAAGACTCATACAAAAAAGAACACCAGTCCAGTCCATAAAACGGGGTGAGGTGTAGTCCCTGAACTGTTTTTTATTCCCCCTTTCTTTTTCTCCTTCACCATTGGCCCTGCTTTTCTAAAAAGGAACCGGGCGTCCCAACCACCTCCGAAACGCAAAGCCCGAGCGGCGGGATCCTCGGCGAAGATCCAAGTGCAGGGCGGCACCGTCATGGCGCTGGGAAGCCGCCGGCTTCCGGCAGCTTGGACTGCTTCGATCTGCTTTGGAACGGGTTTTGCCGGCGGAAGCCTCAACAAACCGGGTAGGATGCCGTAGTATCCATGTCAGCAGCACAAAAACAATCTGTTGTTTTTTATTCTTTACAGTCAGTTTGTGCCAAAAAAATGCAAAAAACATGGGTTGAGTGGGACGTCCCTGCTTGTGCCCTGTGAAGGAAAGACATCATCTGGTTGGTTCTTTGCTTTAGGGGTCGGTCAAGTTGCATTTCCAGCTTTCAGTAACAAGTGCCTTACTAGTATAGAATTGAAATTACTAGCAAAGGAATCACGACACCCTATTCCAAATACACACCCTTGTTTTCCAGAGCACTTCAAGGGCTCGTTAGTGGGCACCCCTTAACCTCTAATGGGCTATTAATAAACACCCCTTCGGGGGCTCTGCTTGGTTCTTGAATTGGGGGAAACCATCAGAAACCTACATTGTCCCCTCTTCTGCTGAGTTGCACTCAAGCACTTCCGATCACTCGACCGTTCAGTCTGTGTCAACGCTTTCCGTGTTCGAGCCACAGTCTTCCAAGTCTGCCCCTGTTGCCAGTGGGTTGGCAGTGAGCATTCAATTGCTATGATGCCTTGTGCTGTCTCGAACATTCTCGAAAGAGGACAGGACAACCAAAATTTATGCGTCTTCCCTCGCTAGGGCTCTCCAACTATGCCCCTTTTTCGGTTTGGTTATCGGTTATAGGGATGGCTCATGACATCGATCGACTTCAGTCGTCTTAACTTTTTGGTAAAGTCTTTGGAGACTGTCCCTTAACATCATGAGCAAAATATAGTCATGCAATGGAATTCTAAAGGGACATTTCCTTCACAAAGTTGTAAGTTGCAGTGCTGCTTTCGGTTCACCTTGCCCACAGGTTTCACCTCAAAAACCGAACTATGCAAAAACAAAAACACCGTGTGTTTTCAAACGATAAAACACATATAAAGTAAACAGGCCATGGTTGTCGTGATCAAAACAGTGGAGGGTATGCATTGCGTCTATCCTATGACCTGCAACAGTGAATGATGATGGTTAGTAAAGGCCTTGTACAACCAAGATGATAATTGGTTACTGACTGTTACAGCTAAGAACGGACAGACCCTAGGTATGCAATTGACACAGCTTTCTCAACCTTTCCCTTCGTCCCAGTCCACCCTCTTCGGTCCAACCGACCGGTTGCTCTCTGGACCAGTAGCTCAGTTGGCATAACACACCATACCTGTCAGCCTGTTGATGGTCCGATCGTAGAGGATCCGGTGGCTTTCAAAGAAAGCCAGCGACTTAAAGTATATATTATATTGCTAAAGGTAATCGAAAAAAGAAAAAGAGGTCATTGACATAATTCATACCCCCAAAAAAAACATGTTTAACTGTTTTTTGCCAAAAGATGGTTGTTTCTGAACTGACATTTGTTTTTGCATACCTTCGGTTGACTAGGCACTCGGCAACAGTATGTTGCAACCCTGACCACCTTGATCACGACCTCTTCGTCATTCCAAACAAGGCCCCGGAGCTGGCGGGCACGGCTCTCACATCTTTAGCTTCAAAACAAACCAATTGGCCTTGTACCAGCACCTTCGTGTCGCAGTCACCTGCCTGGCTAGCAGCCCAGCCCCAGCCCTGGATGGGACCTCCAAACAGGACACCCCGAAAGAAGGCCCAGGTAGGGGCTCCATTTCGTCACATCTTGAAGCAAACCGATCCTCTGGCGCATTGCCCCGCCCGAAGTGGTTGGAGAAGGCTATCTCTACCGAAGTGGTTGCGGTGTACTGCTCACCTGGTCTGACCCTTCAGTCAACGTCGTTGGTACCTCATCTAGATATGCAAAGACATCGTCCACTAAAAACTAAACCAGTGGTGTATGATATGCAGGATGTTGCTTGGAGAACATGTACCAGACCATGGTAACCCATGACATGTGTCCCTCACGGTCTCTTGTGGACCCACATGAGAGGGTCAAAACACACCCTTCTCCTTCAAGCACAGACCTCGGCCATCATCGTGTTCTGACTTACTTCTCGGCCCAACAACGGCGGAACCCATCCGTTCGGGGTGCCCTGGCCAGGGTCCAGGCAGTTGAGTTCTCGGCAAAGCCAGTTTGGATTCACACGCATCCTGTGACCACTTTCCTCCTTTGCTGCGGCATGTGACTCCACGATGTCTCCCCTTTTTTCCACGCGCCACGCCGCGATCCGTGCCGTGTGGGCCCAAGTCCTGCAAGTCCTGCAAGTCCAAGTGGTGTCAAAACACAAAAAGGGGTACCAATCCCTGCTTCAAAACCAAGCAGGTCGGCGTTCAGTGGTTTTATAACCTGATCAGGATTTGGGAAAGGAGTCTCACCTTACTGGATTCTTGGACCGGTCTCACATCTTGGAACTGTCTCATCCCTCATCCTGTGTCAGAACTCGGCCGGTCCGCCTTGGACCAGAAGTCAGGTAGAAGTCACGTTCTACCCGTCCGGTGGTGCGGTCCCCTCACCGGACCGGCAACACATGGCCGACGGCCCGTCATGCCAGGATTGAAAGTCTCATTGGGAGAAACCCGAATCCGAAGTGAGTTCCATGGTCGCTTTCATGACAACACATGACAACACGTGTATCGAACGAGCAAACGACGCAGCCGGCATCGCGTAAACCGGTCGCTTTTTGGGACCTCCGACCGGTGGCGGTGCATCGCCGTGAGTCTCAGCACCGGTGAAAACCGGGACCGGTGGACAGGGTCCCGCCGTATCGCTGAGTTTCCATTCCGAAGGTCCATACTTATTCAAGAGTGTTCACCTTCCTTGTCCAGCTATTCAGGTCTAGAATGGATCTAGTGTATAATGGCATTGACATGTTTTTTTTCCGAGTGGGCGAAACACCTATGGGAATGGGCATCCATCATGTCCAGTTGGATCCCGAGACCAGTCACGAACCACAAGGGTACAAATTTGTCAGGTATTGCAACTAGGCCTATGATGCTCTGTGGCTTGTGGTTCTTGAGCTCACTCTCTGACATATCCTGCTACATGTCCCTCCACAGATTCTATAAGCTTCGTAACTGTAGGCTAGTGGACGGGGAAAGGTGTGCGTTGGACGGGAAAGACGTGTATTGGACGGGTAAAGATGTATTTGACGGGAATTTCCGGGTAGAACAAATTTGTCACGCGAGGCTTTTCTTCAACAAAGTGAAGCCCTGCCGGTTTGACAAGCTCTAAATGTTAGACTCTAAATCTCTTGAGGGAGCAGCGGACACCATTCCTCTTGACCCACAAAGGTATCGCACTACTTCTGACATAGCTGCATGTTCTCATTTGTCACCGTATGAAAGGCTTTGGAAGTGGGAAAATGCCACCCAATACAGCCAAAATGGCTACAATCCAAAAACGTACATTTCAAATGACTTTTGTGTTTTTTTCCTCTGAAAAAAATGTGTCGTGCACAGGAATTTCTGAATGCACAAAATATGTTTGATCATTTGAGGTTGCAGGTATTATCATATTGACATAGTTATATATATATATGTGTACTAGACCTCACATTCTTCGGAAGCTCGGCAAAACTCGGACAGACTAAGCTTGGCTATACTTTAGCCTCTGCAGCCTCCGCACCTTCAGCGTCTGTACACTTGGAGCTTGATGGGTGCAAAGGGACGTGTGGTGTAGCGCAGCTGGGGTGTCCATGGTGCATCGTAATGTAGACTCTTGATAAATTTTTCAACCACCCCAGGCCTGAAGAGGCTTTACCAAGTAAAACACTATCCAACGGGGGGAGCTTTTATTCATCAAGAGTCAAACATGTTGCAAACTCTGATCAATTCGATCATCAACCAACACGACGAGTATCGCAACCTCCTCCGATCGCCTCACTTGCGCCGACGCCAGCTGACCGGACCACCTTACACGCTGGCGTCGCTCAGGGCGCTCCGTGGAGGGCTCAAGGATCCGCTGGGCGTTCGTGGCAAAGAACTGCAGCCTTCGAAGACGTGCTTGACCTGAGCGTGCACCCCGACACTGAGAGATGCACTTGCCTATAGAAGCCTGAGTGACCTCTACATTGGACCACCAACCACCCAACAAGGATTGTCTTTTCCCATCATAACAAGGGGTCAAATGGGCTTTAGGTGGAATATATTCAACCACATCAATGTACGCATAGGTGACATACACCAGTGGCATGATGCATCTGGGTTGTGGCGCCATAGCAGTCTTCAACCTGCAAGAAACGCAGCACCTACGAGATGTTTTACTTAAAGCAAGTACGAATCTGGACTTGGACGTGAGCGTGATACGCATGGGCACCTCAGGGAGATGTTTACTATTCACCTACACCCACCCTCTGAGCTATGGAAGTTGCGCATGTCGCCGTCATCTGAAAGGTCACATGAACCTCCAAAGCAAGTATCATATATTTGGCCGTCTTAGTTATTCAGCCCAAGACGGCCAAATTGAATTGCTTTCCAACTTCAAACCAACTTGGTCGGTGTTACCCGCAAAACGACTCATCCACCTCCCTCAGGTGGAGAAGAGGTGTGTGCATCTCTCCCAACCTTTGTGGGACAGGAGCCCAAACGAGTTTAACTTCCTAAAAGGTCGAGATCCCGAGGCAGGTCACCTATGCCTTCTCCCTGAGAGACCTTCGATGACAACAGCGAAAAAAATGCAGGTTTCTCAGGACACGGTGTTCATGAAGCACCCCAGTAACGCCCAGTAAGGGGGTGTCTATATAGAAGAACTAAGACCCAAAGGAACGGTTTTGAGTTCCATCTAAGCGGCCCTGGATGTTTTTTTTGTGGCGCACCCCAAGGTACCCCAAAAGCACGCCGGACATTTGGAACTGACATATGGAACTCTGGCCAGGAGTTCTAGGTGATTCTGAGCATTTCTAGGCCTAGACTTCGCCACTTGCGACTTGGAGAGCCTCCAAAAATGCTGCTTGGCCTTCTGAAAAAGACTGCCTTCTGAAGGGGTGCAGTT